TCACATTCTGTGTGATTCTGTGTGTGTGATCAGACTCACAACCAGGGGACACCACGCTGAGCCCAAATATTCTCCAGCATGGGGTGGAGTGGACCAGGGCATCAACTCTCCAGAAAGAAACCTCTTGGAGGTTGGAGACCCCCATGGTTTGAACCTCAAAGCTCAAGGAGGACGCAGGCTCTGCCAGCTCGGTGCTGGTGGAGGTGTCACCTCCATGTCCCGGTCCCCTGCACCTGGGGCACCGCAGGCCCCCCTGTCCTAACCGCAAGGCTAATCCCCACATCTGCAGCATCTCATCTGCTCAGGATGTCTGGTAAATAGGTGGCTGGTAGCACCAAACCACTGACAGGAAATACCTGCTTGGGGCTGTTAAAATAGCTCCGGGTTTGAGATGGAGAAAAATCCTCTAAAAAATTAAAGAACTATGGAAAAGAAACACCAAAAAATGTATTAAATCATTCACAACACAAAAACCCAAAAAACCTCAGAGCCTTCTACAAGTGAGGTCACTTCTCTCGTAGCTGGAGCTGGGGAGAAATGGTGATTTTCTGGAGAAGCTCTGAGCAGGGCCCCTCCTTAATTTTGCACAAGCTGGGAGGGTTTTTTGTGCGATGCCCTAAGAAGGAGGAAGCCAAAAGTACGAGCTGTGTACCGCTCCCCGCTTCGCTGCTGCTTTCATTTCCTCTTACGGCTGAAAGAATATCAATTTTCATTTCATATGAGGACATCTCATTTCCGAGCTGACACAGAGGGCATTTTTCTAAAAGTCATTTTGAAGTCTGGGGGAAATCTCTTGAGCTGCAGGGAAAGCCGTGAGTCCACGCAAAGCACAGGAGAGCCAGCAAGTAAATACACCCATAAGCTGGTACATGAATGTAAAAATAGGGAGAGGTTGGAGAGAGTAAAAATTGTATTTCCTGCCAATGTAGGGGGGAAAAAAAATGGGTAAAAATAACCAAAAATAAGGAAGAAACTTCATGGGGAGAGGTCAGCTGGGAGGGCTTTGGCTGCTGCAGCTGAGCCACAGCATCTGTACTGGTGCAGCTTTGCACCACCAGCTCCAGTGGGTGGGGGCAGGATAATTTGGGTTTTTTATATCTAAATAAGCAACTGCACAACTATCTCAACCTGGAAAGCCGGTAATTTGCCCCACCGCAATCCACCTCCACAGAAACCAAGCCCCACGGGGTCTGCACCATGGTCTGACAGCCCTGAAAGCCACAGGAAACCAGCCTGGGACCACCCCGACACCACATCTTGTCTTTTGATGGTTATGTATTAACTGAAAGAGCAGGGAGGTTCAAATAATGGGGAATAGACTGCTGCTTTTCTGCAGTATAGGGAAATTTGGGATGGTTGTATTGTCAGGAGCTGGAAAACCCAACAGGAGAAGGACTTTGGAAGGGGAAGTGGCACCAAGCAGCTGAATTTCATACAGTTCTGGGTTGAATTAAAGGGTAAAAGCACAAGAAAATAAACCCTGGAGGGATGTTAGAGGGCAGGAAAGGTAATGCCACTCTGGAGCATCCCGCATCCAAATTTAGTGGAGTTGGGGTGAGGGATGTGAGCTCATCCCACCATAGACCACAATGCCACCCTACCGATATGACTGGGCACCCCTTGGCCCTCTGGTCCTAAAATAATGAATCATTTCACTGCACTGAAATTATTCCTGGGTCAGCACAGAAAAAAGCCTTGGATTCCCATGATGTGTCCAGCCAATGACATCCATTTGCCTCCATCCATGGAGCTTTTAGGATGGGGCTGCTATCCTTTGGTGGCCACCAGCCCTGCCTGCTCCTGAACCCCAAGGAATTGGGATGTGCAGGGAAAAAGGAGAAGGACCAGCCCAGTCCCCCTTTCCAATGGGGCACAGCACCGACAACGTTGCCTTGCAGGACAGGACCCCCAGCCTGCCACATCTCATCCCCACCAGGACTCCCAGCCCACCACATCCTGTCCCTATCACCGCTTACCCAGTGGCTGCTGCCATGACGCAGCCGCCTTGCTCCGGGGTGGCCTCCACGCAGCAGCCGGTGCTGTCGTGGCTCATGCCAAAATTGTGGCCAATTTCGTGGGCCATGGTGGCAGCTGCTCCAATGGGCTGCTCCGAATGGTCCTGCGGAGGGATGGGGAGTGCATCAGCACAGCAGCCAGGAGGGATGGAGAGGGGTCATGGCATGGGGTTGGGGTGATGGAGGGACCACAACAACCCTGGGATTGCAACTGGATCATGTGGGAGGGACAGAGAGAAGATGAAGGAGGATTCATGGGGTTTGGTCTCCTAAAAGGCCCACATGGGACTGTTGGGAAGCGTTTTTGCTAGAGCCAACTGCTGAAAACCTAGGGCATCCCAAAAAAAGAGAAACCTCAGTGCCCCACACCACCACCCTGCCTAGGGACCACAGGTCACCAGGGCCACCATCACTCCATCAGGAGGAGGATGAGAGTCATCTGGGGTGGAGATGATCCTATGAAACGAGGGAAGAAGCAGGGGCTGGTCAATATGAGGGGCAGGAGGAACACAGGAGGTCCCAACGCTGCTGCTTGCTCCAAGCTGAGGGTGAACATGGGCCAGAAGACCTTTAAATCAGCCCCTTCTCACCCTTCTTACTACTTGGGCACATCTCATAGGGATAAGGGGCTACCAGCATCACCATTTGCCCTCAGGCTGCATCCCATGACCACCCCTGGGAGGTTGGTCCTCCAAATCCGTGAAGAACCCCTGCAAGATGCGGTGGCGACGGGGTCCCCCAGCCTGGAAGGAGCAGCAGGGACCCCTGTGCCCCTCTCTTACCACGCTGACACCTCCAGAGTTATCCGCGCTGCACATCCCCTCCAGCGGGGCCATGCCGATGGTTGTCCCTCTGAAAGTCTTCCCCCTGCCCAGAAAGGAGAACCCAAAGGGTGGCTTGGAGACCCCAGGCAGGGCTGGGAGCCCCCTGCCCCTGGGTCCATAGGGGTGCTCACGTCAGCAGCTGGGCGTTGTCATGCTTCTTGCGGGACCTCAGCGCCTTCTTCCACTGCAGGAAGGCCCAGAGCGTGGCGTTGGCGTCGCTGGTGACGGCGCACTGGTCCCGCTCTGTCCACACCTCCAGGCCGATCAGGGCCACCTTGATGTTCAGTGACCTGTAAAACTGGAGGGAGGGGACAGGGATGGAGGGGACGGGGTTGGCATTCACTGCACATCCTCCATGGCGTTTCAACTGGTGGGTCTCCATGCTTTACCTCCTCAAGGGACTCTGGAACACACTTGTCCCAGGTCTACCTGCAAGCACGAGCTCTACAGGCACAGGAGCCAGTCAGGGTGGCACAATGCCACCCAACAGCTGACAACACCTAAATGTGTCCCTTCTTGTGCCGAGGATGCTGGCACTGGTACCCACTGCTGCAGCAGGTAGGTGATTTCCCACTGCGTACTCACATCTGCCATCGAAACTCATAGCCCCAGCAACATGGGAACAGTCCCTGAGGGCCACCACCAGGCTGGCCCCGAGCTCAGCTGCACTGGGAATGATGGAGGAGGTCAGAAGGGAGCAGCAGGTCCCTCTTGCTGCCTGTTACCTTGTCCACATAGTTTGCAATTTCCACAATGCGCTGCTTGGTGTGGCCCAGGTTGAGGTTCTGGTTCCTGTACTGCAGAGAGACGGGAATGGGGAAGGAGCACCAAAGGAAGAGCAAGGAGGGTGACAGAGAGGGGTCCCAGCTTTTTGGCAGGGTACCCAGTTTCTGCCCCCCACAACTCTCACCAGTGTGTGATCGGCAACGATGAAGAGCTCCATGTATTTCATGGTCCTCCAAGCATCTCTCTTCGCCTACAAGACAGACAGCAAGGCTCAGAGAAGCGAAGGAGCCGGCAGCCCACGGCTCTGGGCATCTCAGGCTTCCCAGGCACCGCAGAGCTGCTCGGGAAGGACCGAGAGGGGAAACTGAGGCACGAGGGGAAACTGAGGCACGAGGGCAAACAAGGCAACAAGGAAAATCAGAGTGGCTACAGCGCAAGTCCCAACATCACCTCACATCACATCCCACACCATACAACACAGCACAGGTACCCAACCCACACCTCCTTCCTTTAGGGTCTCCTGCCCAAACTCAAACCAGGTCAGCTCCCCACGCAGAGTCCTCAGCTCCCATCTGCCTGTGCAACCCTGCCCAGATGCCATGGTGATGAGCACCCCCACCACGAGACAACCCCGCTCCCAACCCTCTGCCAGCAAAGGACCCCAGGGGGATGGATTTACCCGGTGGTGCATGGGCCGGAAGAGCCGAGTGAGGTCAGCGATGGTGGTCCCGAAATCGTCGCCGTGGCCACAGGTCCCGCCTCGGATGGGCACGTGCTCTGCTCGGTGGATGAGGTGGTGGCCCGGCTTCGGGGTCCCCAGGGGTTTCAGGTAGTAGCTGGTGTTGCTGTTCAGCACTATCAAGCCCCTGACAAAGAAAGAACAACCCCCAATGGCTCCTGTGGTGCCTTCAACTCCTACAGCCCCTGCTGAGACCCCACAAACTCATTGCACCTCCCTTTGGTCCACACCAAAGGGTGGTACCAGGAAGGGGTCCCTGCAGAAAGGAAAAGGGCAGCAGCTGGATCAATCCCCCCCTTCATCAGCCCCACAAGCCCCTGTGCCCCACACATCTCCATACCGAAATCCCACGCAGGTGCTGAGGACAACCCAGGAGCCACCGTAGCCCTGGACGTGCCCATGGTAGTAGCAGTGCTCCTGGAGAGAAGCGATGGAGACCTCCATTAGAAACCACCACGCAGGGCTGGGCAACACCAAACCCCGTGTTCTCATCCCAAAAAAAACACCCATTTTGGATTTCCCAGCGAGCGATGTCCCTCCACGCTGGGGACACAGAGCAGGGAGGCTGCCGGCTCTGGGGGTTCAGCCCAGGACACGACCAGCCCCGCGATGGAGCCGGGCGCGCTGGACGGGTGACAAAAGGCTGGTGGCGGGACAGCCGGGACAGCGAGGGCCGCTCCAGCCCGGCGCTGCCTGTGTTTATTTCTCGAGGTGTTGTAACACGGCCAAGAGACACAGGAGCCACGTGCGGCCGCATTCCTCCGGCGCCAGGGAAGCTGCCAGCGAAAACACCGCGCCCCGGTGCGGCTTCGGCTTCCTCCTGAGCACTGAAGCACCCCGAAAAATGGAGATGTGTGACACACGTCCCTCCCCCAGCACCCACCGTGTGGTTTGGGGTCACCGTCACAGGTTGCCCATCCGCGGTGTAATGCGTCTCGGTGTAGCCAGGTGCCAGCAGCCTGTGGAGAGAGGAGAAGGGAGAGCGGTGAGGACACTCCATGTGTCTGGGCACAGGGACAGACCCTCCATTGCAGGGCTCCAAGCGGTGGAGCTGGTGGTGTGGCCGTCATCGCTGCATCAGGGCTGGCCCCCGAACAGCAGGGACACAAATTACAGCCCAGTGTCCCCAGGTCCCCTTTGCGTCTCAGCAAGGAAGGGGCTGCCTGTGCTGCTTCAGGGTGCTCCTGCTCTGGGATGGGTGACCCACATGGTGGGGGCCTGGAGAAGAGAAGGCTCTGAGGAGACCTTACAGCAGCTTCCAGGACCTGAAGAGGCTACAGGAAAGATGGGGAGGGACTTCTTACAAGGGACGGAGTGATGGGATGAGGGATGATGGTTTCAAACTGGAAGAGTGGAGATTTAGACTGGATATTAGGAAGAAATTCCTCCCTGTGAGGTGGTGAGGCCCTGGCCCAGGTTGCCCAGAGAAGCTGTGGGTGCCCCCTCCCTGGCAGTGCCCAAGGCCAGGTTGGCCGGGGCTTGGAGCAGCCTGGGCTGGTGGAGGTGTCCCTGCCCATGGGGGTTGGACTGGGGGGCTGCGAGGTCCCTTCCACCCAATGATGATTCTATGACCCCAACTGCTCACCCACCCCCAGTCCCTGGGAAAAGACCCCAGGGAAGAGCATCCCAATGGGAGAAGAAGGGGTCAACCCCTTACTCGGGGTACAGTCAAGGACACGGGACGATTGGGGTCTCTTCACAGCCAGGAAGCAGCCCCATCCCATGGGTGGTGGGAGAAGAGAAGGGGACAGGGCTTTCCCCACACCACCCAAATCTGTGAGACCTTGCCCAGATGTCAGGGTGATGGGTGTCCCATCACGAGCTTGAAGCTACTGGTGGGGACAGCAGGACCCCAAGGGCCAGCACATGTGCAGGAGGCTCGGCCACCTGAAGAAGGACAAAGCAGGGCTGGGCTTGTCCCTGCTGCCATTTTAGCCCTAAATTTGTAGGGTTTGGCCTCGTCCCAGGGGTTTTATTCTGCCACAGAAGAAAATAACCCAAGCAGCCAGCCCCAGAATAGGCCTCCCGCCTCTTGGTTTCTATTTTGCAACCGGTTTGGCCTCAAAATTGGCGCTGTGGGCACGTTCCTGGCTTCCCAGCCTTCCTGTGAGTGGGTGGCTGGCACCAGTAACTCCAGTTACAGCGGAGAAAGGAGACAGGAGCTTGGTCTGGGCCCTGGAAAGGGATCCGTGGGCAGCCTGGTGAGATGAGCACCCATGCAGGACGGGGACAGTGACGGGGTGGACGACAACAGCAGAGGGGCAAAATTCCATGCCTGGGGAATGGGGAAAACTGGGAGGGTTGAACCAGTTCCCCATCCAGGGGCACAGCAAGACCCAGTATGGCTCAGAGCACTGGGATGTCCTTGCCATGGCAAGCCAAGGACCAGGAGCTTTGGGGAAGGGTGGGCAAGGAGATTCGTCTTCTCTTTGTTGGAAAACACCACAAAGGATGGGTTTGGAGCTCAACCACATCTCCCAGAAGAGAGAAGATTTGAGGTCTGGCATGGCCTCACTGGCCCATGAGCTAGCAGGGCTAAGGTAGCCCTCTTTGCTGACACAAGACAGAGGTGTAGGTGGCCAGGGCTGCATTGGTCTCCCCAGTAGTCACAACCACTGGGCACAGCCAGTCTGGGGTGCTGTGGACCATCCTGGGTGCCATAGGGACCATCTTTGGTGCCATGTATGGTCTTGGGTGCTATGGATGGTCCCCATTGCCATAGATGCTCTTGAGTGCCATGAACTATCACGAGCACCATCAACTGCCTTGGGTGCCATAGATGGTCCTGGGTGCTACAGAGGACATGGGTGCTGCCATGGCCAGTCCTGGGCACCAGGAATGCTTTTGGGTGCCATGGATGATGCTGAGTATCATGGATCTCTCTGGATGCTCAGGTCCCTTTTGCTGCCACCAACCCCCCTCATCTGTTTGTGCCCTCATCCAGAGCTCAGCATTGGGACCTGCTTTTTGGGGACACCACAGTGGCTGCTTTTGTGCCCAAACAGCAGCAAGAAGAGGGCTCTGTGGGCATGAACCTCCCCCAGCTACTGGAAGAAGCAGAAGTGAAAGCAGAAACCCGTCCTGCAGAGACTGACCTCTCCACTGCAGGGGCCACTCAGCACCAGAAGGGACCCAAACCCACAAAGGGACAAATGCCACAAGGTCTTGAGGATCAAGAGAGCAGTGCAGGAGATGGAGAGGGCTGCTCTCCTTGCTTCGACGTGAGGGGACTGATGCTGCTGGCACCTGCATCCAAGCCAAACCAAAGAAGGAGCCCCAAAAGGGTCAAACAAGGTGACATGACAAGGTCACCCAGGAACAGTGCCAGGCTGCCAACCTCAAGAATGGACCAGTAGAGGTTTCCAAACCCACCATGAGATACCTCCAAAGACCTCACAGGATCAGAGTGGGACGGCAGCCCCTTGGCCCCAAATCCTGCTGAGTCTGGCACCTCTCCACCCCCTGAGCACCCCGCATCACCTTCACCCACACCAGGTCCTGCCTCCCAGCGCTAAGCCAAGGCTGCTTTTTACACAACATGGGTGTGGGCAGTGGAAAAAGGAAGTCACACTGGGCTGTCCCTTCCCTGCGGGCAGGAGAGCCAGGACAGGGTGGCCAGGACACCACGGCTCCAGGTGGGACCATGCCAGGGACACCCAACGCCAGCCCCATCCCCAGCCCCAGCACTTACTGGTTCCTCTCCAGCACCAGGACGAGCTCTCTGCCCTCCACCGTCACAGCCACCTTTCCCTGGGCAGGTGCCGGCACCTACGGAGGAAGGAAAGGAGAGACAGGGTTAGAAAAGATAGAGCCCAGGATGTTGCCTGCTTGGTATTACTGTAGGGTCTACTGCTTCATAGCCATACAGGGCAGCAGGAGCCATGAGTTTTGAGCACCATCTCTGCTTGGGAAAGCAGGAGCAAGCCCGTGGAAGGTGGGAAATCACAAAAACACAGAGTCATTGGGTTGGGAAAGACCTTGAAGATCATTGAGTCCAACCGTAACCTGTCCACCACTAAACCACGTCTCTCAGCACCTCACTTCCCCATCTTTTAAACCCCTCCAGGGATGGGGACTCCACCACTGCCCTGGGCAGCCCTTTCTGGTGCCTGATAACCCTTTCAGTGAAGAAATTTTCCCAATATCCAATCTAACCCTCCTCTGGCACAACTTAAGGCCATTTCCTCTGGTCCTGTCATAGATTTCATCCAATAACCCCTCCTGCTTGATTTCCCATGGAGAGCAGCCAATATAAAGAGGATTCGTGCTGAGATTCACCCTGCAAGAGCTGAGATGAGAAAGCAAATCCCATCTCTGCTGGCAGCAGGAGAGAACCGATATGGGATATGGGATACAGGATAAAGGGTTGGGAGTGCTGCTCTGAGCATCCCAAATGCAGTCTCTGTGTGCTCCATCCCACCCAAGATCCTGAGCTGGATCCTGCAAAGGTTGGTCCCTGGGTGGGGGGTACAGGGATACGGAAAGAAATAGTGACCGCCCGGACACTGGATAATGGCACCTTTAAAAATACCACGGGGGCAGCAAGAGGAAACGATTGACTCAGCTTCCCCAGGATGTCGGTGGTTTTACTCACTCCCTCGCTTTGGAGGGTGTTAAATAGGAACCCTACGCACAGATCCACACCAGCACAGCCCATTCGCACGTGACGGGATGGGCTGGAGCCCAGAAACCTCCTCCCATGTCCCTGTGTCCCTTCCCTGGCTCCAGCACTGGGGACACCGAAAGCATCGCCCCGTCCCTATGGCCCAGCCTCCCTTGCTCAGTCCCTCCCCATCCATGATGGATGCAGGGAGCCCGGCGGGACCTATAGAGATGTTTGGTAAGGCTTTGCCTCTCATGCACCCTGGTCCTCACCTCACGTCCTGGGGATGCTGAGGGACCTCCAGCCTGGCAGCCCCAGGGCCACCCTCCTGGGGACCAGTGTGCTTCTAAGGGACAAAACACAGGATTTTGGGGTGCAGGACACAGGGTTTGTGCTCCTGGGATGGGCGTCCCTGCAGCCCCACCCCAAACTGAGCTCCAGGGATGGAGGGACTCAAGTAAGTCACTCAGATTGGCCCCAGGGATGCTCTTGGCCCCAGTTTGACCCATGGGTCCAAGCCCTCATGGCCCCGAGCCCTCATGGCCCCACTTCCCAAGGCCGGCAGCGTGGGGATGCTGTGACGGAGCAGGGCCGGCCATGTCTCCCCCCTCCGCCTCCAACGCCGTTTTCCCAGCTCCAAAAAAGGAGACCAGACACAGCGCTTTAAAAAAACAAAATAAATCAACAGCAAAGTGAGCCCCAACAGCAAAAATCAACAGCAAGGCAACTCCAAGGCCCTGCCGCATCCCAATGAGCCCCTTCGGCACAGCCATGGCCATGGTCCCTGCTCCTGGTGAGGGGCCCTGCGTGATGCGGGGAGGAAGAAGCCGGGGCAGAAGCCTCCCCTCCTTCGGCGATGGTGGGAACGGGCTGTATTTTTAGAACATGAGCTTATCCAAACATCCCTCCCTGGCCAAACATGGTCTGCACGGGTTTCTCGCCGTTTCCCTTCTGTCCCCCCCTCCTCGCCCTCCCTTTTTACAAGCCTGTTTGGTCTCTGATCTCCCTAATACCCTCTCCTCCTCCTTCTCCTCCTCCTCCCCAAGTCCCTGCCGGTTCCTTCCCGGTTTTAAATTCCCGAGCAATTACTCCCTGCCTTGACTCAAAAGGCCTTTACTGGCAAAAATGCTCTTTCCCAGACGTGGTCTTAAAGGCCCCCGTGTGTGTGTCTGGGGTTATCCCGGCATTTGCAGCTCTGTGAGGGGATGCATCGCAAGCTTTCCCCCTTCCGCGTGCCTCAGTTTCCCCTGGGAGCACACAGAGAGGCAGTGGGAAATAGAGGAGTGAGCTGAATTGGGATGGGCTGAAACCAGCTCAGCCCCTGGAGAAATAAATAGCAGGAAAAAGAGGGAGAAGGAGGGCGCAAGCATCACTCACACTGGGCTGGAGTCAAATAGCCCAGCTCTGAGGCCAGGGAAGGTTATTGCGTTAATTAAACACTGATAATTATGCCTTGAGTCTAATTGGCAAGCAGCTGGGTCCCCAGAAGCTGCCTGCCAAGGCATTATGCACCAGGATTGAGCATCACCCCAAGCTCCAGCATCATCCCAAGCTCCAGAATCCTTCAGGGCTCCAGCATCACCCTGGGCTCCAGCATCAACTCAAGCTCCAGCATTCTTCATTGCTCCACCACCGTTGCAGGCTCCAGCATCATCCCAAGCTCCAGCATCCTTCAGGGCTCCACCATCATTGCAGGCTCCAGCATCCTCCCAGACCCCAGCATCTTTTTCCAGCAACCCCAAAAAGGATGAATCAGTCCCCACCCCAGGCTGCAGGAACCACCTTCCCTCGGCCCTGGCTGGATGTGGAGGTGGTGGCCCCTCTCCAGGACATCCCAGCAAAACTAGTCACACCAGGGGCTGGGCGAGGCAAAGAGCAGCTGGGATGAACATGCCCTGGCCAGAGCCCAGCCCTGATCCATTGGGCCAAGCTCACATCTATTTTTCAGCCTTAGCTGATCAGGAAAACCGCAGCGATGTTTGCAGAGGAGCTGGGGCCAAGGAGGTTGTGTTTTAAGCCAAAATGCAAAATCTATGTCCAAATCACAGCCGGGTCATCTGCTCGAGCCGGTCCCACAAGCCCCGATTTCCTAAGAGCACGGATGTAACAAGGACGACGGGGATGGGAGCTACCAGGAGATGCTCCACAGAGGATTCAGTGATGGGATTTGCAGCTGGAGCCTTGTGGGTGAGCCAGGTCCTCCCCAGGCAGCTGGATCCCAGCAGCAGAGCTGGGGTTTGCAGAGCACAGCCCAAGGACTGCAAAGCCTTGTCCTAAACGCACACCAGGATCGGCATCCGAGACCTCAAGGACGAGCATTGTGCTCACTGGAAAAGCAGCTTCCAGGGGGACCCAGGGGAATCCAGGCCCTGGAGACAGAGGTTTTTGGTTGTTTCGCGGCAAATTTGGCTCAGGGACCACGCCAGGGTTTGCTCCGTCCCACCAGATGTTGCCAAGGGAAAAGGGCTTCCCTGCAGGAAACAGATTGCAGGAGCGCGCGCCCTTGGCACCTGCGGCTCGCCCCAAACCACAGGCGGTCCCACTCCTCCCTTCCTGCACCCGGAGCAGGGACCTGACCCCCGCCATGGGTGGGATGCTCCCGGGGGGGGGACCCACACCACACGGCTGGGAGGGGGAACAGAGTCTCACACCCCGACCAGTGGGGATGGTCCAAGCGATCGCTAGCGAGGATGAAGGGGACATCCACGTCCCAGCTCCAGGACAGGATTTCAGGGCTGGATACTGGTGGGACACCCAGGCCAGGGCTCGACCTCCATTTCTAGCTCCCAAAAGCTGGAAAAGCCCATGGTCAACTTTACCCTGCACCCCAAGCCGGGAGGAAGGAGCAGGAGGAGGATGGGGGCAGCAGGGAAGGGTCTCACCCCACGCTGGCAGACATGAGGGAGCTGTTTGAAATTCGGGTCCCCACGACCTCCTCCATGGCCTCTCTGAAATCGTTTCCATTTGTGCTGGGAGCCCATGGGGAGCTCAGCCTCGAACAATAGGAGAGAGAGGGGGGGATGCAGAGTCCAGCCCCCCCAGTGCTGTGCCAGCCCACACACGACGGTACCATGGGGCCACCACCGCCATCCTCTTCCTCTTCCCATCATCCTGACCATAGTGATGTCCCCCTGGATCATGGCACGGCCACTCCACAGCATCCCAGACCATTTGCCCCCACCCCATCCTTTGGTTGTCACCATCCTTCCCCTGTGAAGCACCCCTGCTCCTGGTCACAACCACTCCTCTCCTTCCCCCCCCCCACCAAGAAACAGGAACCTCCTTGGTTGGGGCTGCTGGAGCCCACAGAGCTGAGCAGACGCCAGGAACCATGCCAGGACCTGCCCAACCACCCCAGCCCTGGGGTCCCCTGGTGACTCCCGAAATTCGCACCCATCCGGCGCAATTTTGGGCAGCAGGGGGTTAGCAAGGGTATAAATAAACCTCCCGCTGCCCAAAATAAACCTGTCTGAAGTGCCTTCCAACCTAAACATAGTCCCCATCTGGGGCAGGGAGGGGATATTTCTGCACTCCCAGTGCCATGGGCTATTTTGGCTACTAGAAAACCAGCACCAATGGAAGCAATGGTCCCAGTTCCCCCAGTAAAAGGCATCATCCAGCCCCACTTTGCTGCCAAGAAGCGAAGCTGACTCCCTCCTCAGTATCTCCTGCCTGCAACAAGGAGGTCTCACGTGGAGGCACCTCAGGTGGCTCCAAAGCTGCATCCTCAGCCCCTGCTCCAAGGAGATGCCCCCAGAGGTCACTTCCCAGCACCAAATCTCCTCCACTCAGCCCCAGAGTACAGCGGTTTCCTGCAACCACCCGCGTTGATGTTTGTTTTAAAGTGATTTCATCTGCCCCGAAGGAGACCACAGCCCCCAAGACCCCCCCAGCTGCCAGGTATAAGGACCAGCTGCCATGGCCGATGGGCAGCTGTGGAGCCAATCGACCTCAGAGCCGGGCAAGGGGCCCAACCCAGGTGAGGGTCACCACGAGCATCTTATGAAGTGGAGATAATCTGTCTGTCCTGGCCAAGCCACCAGCCTGACCAATGGCCTCTGTCTCCAAACTGCCCAGCTCCTTTCTGCTCATCCTGCAGCTCGTCACAGAGTCATTAAGGTTGGAAGAGACCTCTAAGATCACCAAGTACAACGTCAACCCAACCCCACATGGCCACTAAACCATGACCCCAGGTGCCACATCCAGGCACTTCTTGAACCGTTCCAGGAATGCTGACTCCACCATCCTACTGCTCAACAGCAAAGACAATTAATCAACTCACTGTTGCACCTTCTGCTTTCCCTGTTCATAGAATCACAGAATGTGAGGAGTTGGAAGGGACCTGGAAAGCTCCCCCAGTGCAACCCCTGCCACAGCAGGATCACCACAGCAGTCACACAGGAACACGGCCAGGGCTTTGGGTGTCTCCACACAAGGACACTCCACAACCTCTCTGGGCAGCCTGGGCCATGCTCCAGAACCCTCACACTCACAAACTTTGGCCTCATCTGCAGCTTGAACCTCCTGTGCTCCAGCTTGGGACCATTGCCCCTTGTGCTGGCATTGGACATCCCAGAGCAGAGCCTGGCTCCTTCTTCCTGACACTTGCCCTTTCCAAATGGATCCCCAGGAATGAGGGCACCCCTCAGGCTCCTCTGCTCCAAGCTCAAGAGCCCCAGCTCCCTCAGCCGCTCCTCAGCAGGAGATGCTCCACCGTGTTCACTTCTACAAGTGGTAGCGCTTGTATGGTGAGAAAACATGGCAAGGCCACTGTCTCACCATAGGTGCTATATCCACACCTCATCTTTGTGGCCCTGCTGGACTCTTTCAAGCAGTTCCTGTCCTTCTTGAGCTGAGGGCCCAGAACTGCACACAATATTGCAGATGTGGTCATCACCGGAAGGGTCCTGCAAACCCCACATCCTGCTCATGAGCCCTGCAAACTCAACATCTCCATCCAAGTCTCACCATGAAGACCTACAGGTACAGGACCTGCCCTTACCTTCTCCTCCAGGCTGACAGCTCGTCTGGTCCGGCCCCCGAGCAGCCAGTGTGGGGTGACCAGCTCTCCATGGAGGGGTGGACCTGGGAAGGAGAAGACCCAATGTGAGCAGACCTTGCAAGTCCCAGCAAGCAGCAGCTCCTCCACAGTCACATCAAGAGAGAAATGGGCTGAAGGAACAGAGCTGGAGGCTCTGGGCACCATCCAGGGCCACCTCTGGGGTGTTTCTGGGTGATGGACACCAGCACAGAGCCAAAACATTGCCTCATCCCCAGGCCAGCGCCCTCATCATTGCCTCCCAGAAGCATTGCTGCTCACCCAGGTCCCAGACTGGTGGCATAAATCCCCCAAAACCCAACCTGCTCCATCCCCCCCAGATCACACAAACAGCTTTTTTTTTTCCTGGGTTTTTTTTTTTTTTGCACTGGTATTTGTAAATGCTATGTGTACCATAACCTGCAAGTGGGGAGGTGGGCATTCAGTTGAGTTGGCGTC